TATGTACTCGAAATGGAAAGTTGAAGTCTGCCACTAGTTCAAAAAATGTACTGATTTTTTGGGTTTTTCGTAACAGGGACTTGGGAATGAGTAGATCTGGTGCAAATGATAACCGAAAAGCATCAACGTCTTCATCACCTGATAAAGAAGATCGGTACTACACAACAAGGGGTTCGGGGATATTTGATGATAGTAGCAAGGCATTTGCAAATCCTAAGGAGGAAAATAGAAAGGTAGTTTGGCCGAAATTACTTGTTAACTTATCGAGTAAGGAAAAAGAGGAAGATTTTATGGCTATGAAAGGCTGTAAACTACCTCAGAGGCCTAAGAAAAGGGCCAAGTTGATCCAAAGAACTATTCTTGTAAGTCATTTGTATACACATGAATCCAAATTATAAGAGCATTCGATCATTTTGTGATTTGGGTTGTTTTAGTTATGCTTTGTCGTATGAAAATGCTTTGTGGTATTTGTTTGTGCAGTTGGTAAGCCCCGGTGCCTGGCTGTCTGATTTGTGCCAAGAGAGGTATGAAGTGAGGGAGAAGAAGACTTCAAAGAAGGTACTGATATCACTATTGATATTGCCTTGTTCTATTACATTTTCTGCCAATTTCTTTTTCAGTTTTGGCTCTAAAAACTTGGTAGCGATTGTTATTTGGTGCAGAAACCTCGAGGATTGAAAGCTATGGGAAGCATGGAAAGTGATTCAGAATAAAGCTGGGACGGAGAGAAGGAGAAGATAATGTAGTAACAATCTGATATTTTGCAAGTTGTAGTAGTATCATAGTTTATAATTTGGAGTTCTTGGTTGGTTTTGCAGAGCTGCTGGTAGTTCTTGAGCCTGATCTTCAAATCTTGTATTGCGTGTCTAAGAATGAATTATCATTTTCATTATTTTACGAAAATTAAAGTTCTTTGTTACTTGATGATTTTGTCGTGCTTTCATAGCCAGTTCTATATTTGATGTCATCGTACACTTAGGCATGCATTTCTGTTTCTTTTACTCGTTTTTTTTTTCCTGTCGATCTTCGCATTTTCGTACGTGACTGTTAAAGGAAATGACTATCAATAAATCTTGTATTGAGAGTTGGGAAGTTACAAATAATTTGTTCCATATTCAAGTCAATTTTCATGTAATGACAGATTCAGATTCCTTTCTTTTCTGATCAATAACCCAGAAAAAAATTTAAAAAAATGAAGCAGCAGCAATCATTAGATATAGAAAAATGAAAATAATACTATAAGATTGTATTGCCAATTAAAGTAAAATGATGAGAAAACAACCTGTACAATTGATTTCTACCCTCAAAATTGCAGCTTAATATTCAAACCTTCTCCAGCCACATTGCTATTTGCGATCCTCTTAACGACGTATACCTTTTTCTTTGAACCCTTTTCTTCTACTGCTCATTTACAAGGTTAAAACCTATATTCTTGCAACATTTACTCATGTACACATTTTTATCCTCGAGAACCCTCGTTGGTAAAGGCCAATCAAATTGCTCGAACACAAAGAGATGCTCCTGTTGCTCGCATTCTTGGATGCCCATGAACCATTGACCCCGAGATGCTATTGGATTGTGAAATTCACGTGATGAAGCAGTGTTGCGCAGTCAGTAAATTCCCTCAAATCCAAGATTCCAGCTGCAATCAGAACCAAATTGTGCACAATCTGCTCAGCGCAAAATAAAAGGTATATGAGTGTTTAGTGCATGTTCAGTGGATTGTATACTATAAATCAGAACAATCACCATATTAAGAGCAAGCTTGGAAAGTGTTTATAAATGGTTCAAATTATAAATGCATAGAAATGTGTCTTGAATACGTAGGTGGTACTTGTGGATCCCTCGAAATGTGTGAATAAAAATGACATGAGTGTTTATAAACCGTTTTATCCAAACATAGGCTAATAAATCTGAGATAAAGGTAAAGGAGTAGTATAAGAAAATTACCACATGACAGCCCCCTCATTTTGGATTATTTGGCAGCTTGCACATATGAAGGGCAATGCACAACCCCAGTACAGCAAGTTTCTGTCCAGAAGTTCTTTGAACTGTAAAGGAAAAAAAATATGCCGTCGCTGTACTATAAAGCTTCAAGAGCTACTGAAGCTTTGGTGAATACGGAGAGAACAAAGGGTGCCTCTTCTCCAGGATGAATGGTTGTTGGCACAATTGTGTACCCCTTAGGATCAGGATCAAGGACCATCTCGCAAGATATTTCCCGAGAATTTACATAATCTGTGCCACCAACTGATTCGTGCAAGTAAATATTGTAGGCAGCACGACGTCCACGGGTCTTGAGGATCCTCATCCCTATGTAGAACATCTGTGAATCATGGCTTGACTGGAAATTCTTGAAACCAGCTGTTGTTCTCGAGAAGCTCACACCCTGTGTAGATACAATTGGCATGAACCAAACGAGATACAGCTATTTGAAGATTAATAAGCTTGCACACGTATAAAAATACCTGAGTTAAGGTAATGAACACATGAATCGGTAAGGATGCATCTGGCCCCATGGCTCTCAAGCGGAACTGTGGATTTTGATGCCAACTATCATAGTCCTGGCAGCCTCCAGCGCTGTAACCTCTCCACTGACTATGGATAGAATAACGCATCTCAGGTGGGTAGACACGGCATACATATATTGACCTGAAATGTATCTGAAAATCTT